GGGGGACGACGAGGAAGGGGAGCACGAGCACGAGCACGAGCACGAGGAAGGAGAGCGGAACGCGGGCAGGCGGCCCATCTTGCCGATGGGAGTGGGGCAGGCGAGAACGTCGTCGTCGGTTCCATCGTCGTAGCGGCAGACGAGGCGCGGCGGCTGCTTCTGCGGGCCCTTCGCGGGCCAGATCCAGTCGACCGTGTAGACGCTGCCGCTAGCGGCAGCCGAAGGGGAAGACGCAGCCCAGGAAGAGCACGACGTAGAAGGGCTCGACTCAACAGTCGAGGACCCTCCGGCCTGGTGCAGCTGCTGCCCCCCGCGCCTGCGCCCTCGGAAGTTGGCGCCGCTTCTACAACCGCCCCCCGCGCCTTCCAGCATCCCGTCTTTCTTGGCGCGGCGCCGTTGCCGCCCTCCTCCCTTTCTCTGCCGCTGCCTCGCGTCCACGGCGCGAGAGCTCCCGCTCTTTTCGGCGACGCGGTAAGGGTTGACGACGACAGGGCGGCTGGAGAGCGCGGGATCCGAGCCATCCCGGCGCTGGTGCTCGTAATGATAACCGCGCCGCTGCTGCTGCTCACGCTGAGGCGGCCGTGAAGGCGGAGGCCTCCTCATCCTTCCAATACTGGAAGTGGTGCTCTTGCCTCCCGTGGGTTTTGCCCGAGCTTCTTCTGCTTCTGCTTCTGCTTCCGCCGCCGTCACCGCCCCGTCGTTCGACAACTTTACTGCCTCCTCTGCGTCCGCCTTTGCCAGCATCTCCACCACGGTGGCGACGGAGGCTCTCGGGGCGTGACCACAAGGCCCGTCGGCGTCCCTAAGGCTGCGGTGGGGGGGGCGGCTGAGCGGTGAAACCGGCGGGGGCGGCGGCGGCGGCAGGGCCTTGTCCAGGCGCGGACGCCTGACCGGAGTCGCGTGCGGGCCGGAAGGCGTCGTCGTGGAGCACGGGTGCTTGTCGTCGCGGCTGCTTAAGGTTGAGCTGCCGCCACTGCAGGCGCTGCCGCTCGGCGACGGGCCGACCTTCGCCGCTGACACTCGTAGACCCGCTCGGCCGGTGGCGAGGTCGACGATGGTCCGGATGTCGGGGACCTTGCCGGCACTCTGCTGCTTCGTTTTTCGGGTTGTTGTCAGCGGAGGGCGGCGGTGGTCAAGGGCGCGTAGTGTGTGAGACCGAGGAGGGCACGATGTGTGTGGGCGCTGTTTTCATGGCGTGCATAGGACCGAGCTACGGCGGTAGGTCGTTGGTCTCGCCCTGGCCGATGTGCGTGTCGTGCAGCGTCACCACCAAAGGTGGGTGCGGAAATAGTAATATTAGTGCTCCCGCAGGTATCATTGCCATGTTTGCTTGAGTGCGAGAAAAGAACGGGTCGGGAGTTCTATTCGAGTGCAAGGGCGGACGGGCGAGTCTTTTTGAACCCGAACCAAGACGAAAGCTGTGACCCAATTCTTTAACAGCAAGTACAACACGAACGCCAAAATATGGATTTATTCATTCCTGGGCGGTGGAAAATAACTCACGAGTAAACGTCGTCGGCCATAGAGGGGAGGGATTTGCTTGTAGGTGTTGCAACTGCCGTTGCGTTTGTCGTACATGATCGTCTCCTTTTTTGTTGCATGTCTTCTTAGGTTGCGCCCACCGACATTCTGACAAGTCGCGTGTGCTCGACCATATACATGCAGGAGAGGCCACTGTCGTTGTTGTTGCCGTCGTTCTCCTCCGATATGTTGATACCCTCAGGAGAACGAACGGAACTAATTCATTTGTGTTTTCTCGTACCACGACTCCCTCCCCCCGCGCTCACTCGTTGTTTGGCCTACATACAAGCCAAGCCCAAGCAGACCCTCCTTCCTTGTCTTCTCACCTCACGAGAAGGAGCGTATATTGAGCCGACCGACCAAGAAGAGAATGAGCTGGTGGATCGGGTGTGCACCGTAGACCCCGGCGTCGGGCAATGCTGCTGCTGCCGCTGCTGCCGCTGCCGCTGCTGCTGGTGTTCTGCCTTGTCGTCGTCGCCGTCTGACTTGAGATGAACGACAGGCTGGTATATTTTCTTGTCCTTTGCAGAGTCGCCGTCGTCCCCGTCGTTGCTGCAACCGGCAAAATTGTGGATGGCGAGAGAGGTCAACCGCCTGCGGCTGCTGATGGGCTTCACGTTGGCCGAAGGAGGTGTGATGCTTTTGTTGCTGTAGCCGTCGATGCCTGCAGCAGCAGCAGCAGCAGCAGCAGCAGCAGCAGCAGCAGCAGCAGGAGAATCGACGAGCACCACTCCACCGGCTGCTTGTGGCGCCTCGGAAAACGTCGTCAGCGCTAGCCCGCCGGGTTTGGTCTCTGCGATGGCACGACCAAAACAGCCAGCTTTGAAATTAAAATCGTAGAAAATGCTTGTGAAGTACGCGAAGTAAATATTGTACATGTGCATACATACAAGTAATTACTTGAGCGGATAATGTTGTTATCTACCTGTAGTATGAGCAACACACGCAAGCATCGGGCCTGTTCTGTGGTTTATTTACGACAGCAAAACGGCTGTGATGATGAGCGGAAAGAAATGCTTGCCACATTCCGCACCTACCTGCTACGTACTAATAGTTAGACTAGTGCAGTGACCTGTAGACGACGCCAAGAAATGTGTGTGTGTGTGCAGAGTTAGTTGCATTAGGAATCAACCACTTTGGTTGAATGGTGGGCAGACAACATGATGATCAGACTATTATATTTACTTCTATTAGTCTAGACTATTTATTAATAGCAAATGTTGCTCTTGGGTTTGATTTCGATGTATTATAATATTGCATTGATTGTAGAAAGTCGCTGTGGAAGAAGAGGAGGAGGGGCAGGATCTCGCCGAAAGGACGGAAGGATTGTCGTTGTGTGCACTGACTGTAGATACTCGACGGCGATACAGACGCACACGATTGCTGTAAGTAGATGTAGCCCACTCATCGTGCGGTTTGCAGTTGTGTGGATACATCATATAGAACACACACAGATAAATAAATAAACCTGTTATTGAGCTCCGATGATGAGCAGGAATCTTACAATATATATATATATATCTATATGGCAAAGGGGAGGTAGGTGCGAGATCTCGCAAAAAGGAGTGCAGGATTGTGTACTTGGCGGTGCAAGGTGGCATCACAATACGGTTCTTATATACTGACTGTGCACAGGATCATGATGTGCTACTACCGCTTGATTTGGTTTGCATTGTTGGAAAGATTTCACATAAATATGGCAAAGCTACGTGGTGCCATGCACGGTCGGTCGCCAGCATGACGGATGTGAACGGACGATTGTTGAATTTTTCGTGTACAGAAAAAGCTGGTAGATCTACACCTGTTATAGACTTGCATTCGTTGTATACAGTAGTTCAACACACAGGGCACCCAGGGCGCTTGGTTTTTCCTGTGTATGGTCTACTGCTGTAAATAAGTGTTCCGCGACACAGATTTCGAAGAGCCAGAAATCCGCGTTGCTCTTGATGGATTGAAACACCAGGGCTTCCCCACAAAACTATGCCGTGAACGAAAACACAGGGGTACGGATTGCTGGGTCAAAGCTCGGCCCTATTCGAGTGGACAGACAGACAGGGCGACAGTGCACCAAGCGCCGCTTATCGCTGCTGCTGTGCTCTCAACTACTCGCCAGCCAAAGATCTTTTCGCGAGTAAGTGCGAGCTAAGCATGCACCACACTCTCCGTCGGGAGCATAGTGCATCACGCGGGAATCATCTCAGCCCCAGAGGGGGTTGGCTCCTACAGCAGTCCTGCTGACTCCTACGGATACACGGCACGGCCAATACTGGAACGTACAACCTGCCAGCGCACCAACAAACACCGGTTCGCCAACAAGATAGACAGCTAGCGGCTTCTCGGCGTTCGTTCATGCTGCGGGGCGAAAGGCCGGACGGGCCTGGCGGCTCACCTTGATATCGAGATCCGCTCGCCATGCTATGAAATCCAGCTTGCCTCCGGTCGCCAATCCAGGGAAGAAACGAAGGGTCGTATGCTGTGGATGAGGAGAGAGGAAAATGGCGGGATCGACCGACAGACACACAGAGGGCTGGAGGTTGTGAGAGTCTCTTGTTGTCGGCCCAGGACACGTTGGGAAAAAAAACTACTTGCCATTTTCCCTGTCTGAAATCGGGTGAAAACTCTCGTCGCCGACCGGCATCAACCATTGAATCCACAGCTGACAACCTCCGCATCTTTCTCGTGGTCGGACGGTTTAAGCGCGCGTGCGTCCGGATGGCGCGAGTGTTGCGATCTCGCTAGACGACGTGGATCCCCGCACGCTCGGCGCTTTGCAGTCCGCGTACGAACGCGCGTAGGCTGTCGTGGATTAGGGCAGCAGAAAAAACGAACCGAAGGGCATGGTCGTATGCACACGGTTGATTCTGTGATTCGAATTAATTGCGCCGCGTTGGTATTTGCCGAGTATAATAGAAGAGCAGGATACCAGGTTGCCGGCCGGGCAACCGGCAAATGAGGGTGCCCATCTGTCGAGTCGCCGCTCGCTGTCCTATTCATTTATGTGCATACACGCTGTTAATAAATCCCGCATTTTCGCGTTTCCCCTACCTAGTTGCTGGTGGTGCAAGCTTTTACGTATTGTGAACGTAGACTACAGGTAGTTCTAGATGATGATGTACAGGGAGGAACGAGATTCAGGCACGACGACGGCAGGTACTTTTTTTTTTATCCGTGGCTCCTCAGCATGTAGACTAACTGCCGGCTGTACGTGTTGTTTGAACAGGTGGCCTTAACTCAGGAGCTACATGTAAATCAGATGAAAGAGATGGGCTGCAGGCCTTATTGTTGAACTGTACAGCGACGCATGTATTCCGATCTATTCCGGACACCATTCATTTGTAATGCATTGTGTGCATATGCATATAGTCTATGTATACCATTTGGCGTTTTTCAGTCGGCAGAGGGAGAAACAACCATGCTCGACCAACGACACCTGCACGAGATTACGCGAGCACACGAAGCGAGCAGGGGGGGCTAGTCCAGTGTTGAGGGAATAACGGGAGCTTGAGTCAACGCGTGACCCTCCTCAAGTGATTCACTGGCTCTACCAGCACACTACGTACCATACACGCCAACCAAACTAGGTAGACTACATGGCATACATACGTGCCTGCCGAGGGCTCTCCACTTTCCACATACCATTGTACAAATTTTGCACCGTGGCACCGGACCATCATACCACCACGAGCGATGGGAAGAAATACGAGCCCCAAGTACTACCGCGGTCGGAACAAAGGACAGAACAGCGTGATTGCTGATATACAGCACGTCCGTTCGTTCCGTCCGTTCGCCTTTTCGCTTCAGGGACACCCATCATGGAATCATGGAAAGTCTACCCTTTCTAGTATACTAAATGCGTGTGTAGACAACAGCAGTATGTAACCCTAGTCGAAATTTGCAATTCGGAAATGTGTTCTTCGGACAGACCAGCAGCGTAGTACCTGGTTGCTAGCGTACCTGGGTAGGGGAGGAGTAAACAGAGGACTGACAAGAGGAGGACCTGCAATTTACCGCAAAAAACTACCACCCACGTGTTTCGTGATGCCATTCCCACTTGCAATTCCTACTACTGCTGTATGTTACGTCAAACGGCAACAGCAGGGAACGCCTCACGCCTAAGAAAAACAGCAGTACTCCACGCGCGGACAAGGACGGTCGGCAAAACAAAGCAGACACGGCATACTAAACGGGGGACTAATAGTAGATCGTGTGGCCAAAGAACCGACTCCTCGCTGGAGTTGGCGCCGGATGGCAACGACGCTGCTGCAAATCACGCGCCCGGCGTTCGTGAAATGCCGCATTCCCCTCGCGGCGGTATCTACATATGAACCGTTTCGTGGCGGGTGAAGAGCTTGCTGCGCTCCGCGCGAAGGAGCAGAGCTTGCGGAAACAAACTTGACAAGCACCCGCCAAACACCGTCTCTGGAAGTGAGCAGCACACCAGGGAACAAACGAACTGCAACTCACACTCCACTCGAAGCTGTGCCAAGCACGTTCAGGGACACAAGATACTCGATTACACCCTGACAAGAGCAGCAGGATACGACTTGCGAACGAACTACCCACACGCACAGCCCTTTTTCGCGCTTGCCGAGGCGTTGGTGCGAGAGTCTGGTTCCGCGAAAACCTGGTCGTGTGCTCGTGCCGGCTGGGGTACAGACACACGCGTGGTCCCCATAAAGTCACACGACTAGACTATGTGCTGCTGCAGTACAACGCCATAACGGCACCATCTTGGGTGCCCCTCTTCCTCCTCCAACTCCCCACCGCTGGCACGCGTCTCAATCAAGATCCTTCCAGGTAACTTACACCACGGCGCATAGTCTTACCACACCAAGCTCAAACAGTTCTTTCGTGTGTTGACGCCCACCCACGCCGCAACCAACGCAGCTTACATCGAATCAACACCCCGTGTAGTGGCATACATAGGAGCATCCCTTGTCAAAAAAGACGGAATCTCCAAGTTGAACAGCAAAAATCATTTTCAGCGCAAATAAGCAAGATAGTCTTATGCTTGCACGCTGCTGCAGAAAATCGTGTTTGCGTTTTCACACGGAAGAAACGCTCTGACCTCTGACCTCTATTCATTGCCTCCTCTTCTGCACTCTTCAAAGCAAAAAAAACAATTAACGTGGCCATCGGTAGTACCGGCATGTGTCCGCCAGAATCACCGGCACGTATACTGGGCGCACTCGGCACTGCTTTTCAGATAATTAAACAACTGGAAGGGAATATTCCATCCATGCCACGCGAAGTCAACGGCACCATGCCGCGCAGTGGCAGGCAGTCTTCAACCGGTACTGTTGAGGGAACCCCACCGCATGAGGTACGTCATGCCAACCGTGAAATGAAATCCTAGAAACAGACATCAATGGAAGACCAAACTACTGCTGATGTTGCTGCGCAAAAATTAGGCCACCACTACACAAGGCTATCATAAGAAGGTGCCTTCCTTCTAGAATCGGCACACCAGCAAGAGTGCGTGTGATGCCCCTGGCGCCCACGCTGTTCTACTTCACAAAGCAACCGCAGAGTTGCAGGCGTGCAACTACAACACTAAAAATAATTGAACAACCAAACACACAGCTTTCGATTCACTTCCTTGAGTACATCAACCAACTTGGGTGCACACTTTTTGTCAACACTCCACAACGGCAATAAGGAACCCACAACCAAATTAATCCTATGCAACATTCTGATACATCCAATACTGACCGGAAGCGTGTTTCTAAACATTCAAATAGCTCACTGTCCCTTTGTCTTTGGCGGCTTGAGCACGAATCGACGACTAGCGTACGCAAACAAGCCGGCCGCTACCGACGTCAGACAGCTTCCCGCCAATCCCCACGTTGTCCAGCTCCCTCCCAAGAAAGCCTGAAAAAAAAAAACGCATCAAAAAGCGAGAGGCCAAGAGGTTTATTTGTTGGGGATAACTTGGGCCCGGCAAAACCGCGGCGGGGAATACTCACGGGGCGAAGAGGGATGACGCCTCGAAGGCGAGGCGCGCCGTGCCCACATCCTGTACATCCAAAAACAGCGAGTCGACGTGTGACGATGCTTGTTGCGACTCGGGAGTTGAGAACGTGATTATGGGGTGTTTGTTTTACGTGGAACTTGAGAAGGGCAGCAGACAAAATAGCAACCGTGTACGTGCATAGACGATATGTACACAGTTTTATCAGGAGTGCCCGCTGCCTAACGTTGTCTGTACGACGATACTGCTCCTGATAGAAAAACAGCGCTTGAAAACACGTTGCCAACAACGTACTTTGCGCATCACAGCGGTACAAAATTGTACCACATTTTAAGCCTTGAAATGAAGGATGTGGTGCAAACAAAAAATCGAGAATGCAATGCTTTACGCGAGGCACCACACCAGATACTAGATATCGTTCACAGCGGGCAGTGGCGCGAAGGGGGCGCGGTGGGGCGTCCACCTGTTTAGAAAAAACACACACCATACTTTACGTGCGCCACCGAGAGGGTGCAACATGGAGGTCAGTTGCACATCTTCGTGGGTCCATGTGGGACACATGTTCATCTCCACACGTGCTCTCGTCGCCATCCGTTCCCCTGGAGTCTTAGCGGGAAATCGATCAGAGGAACACTCCCAGTCATGGAGGAAACCCACAGCAATCTACTGTACGCGTAGAATGACTGACCCGCATCAACGCACACAAACGCTACAACGAAAGCTCCCTTGACTGACTCACCGCAACACAATGCACCATGCGATGGTCGGAATCGCCCCCCCCCCCCCCCCCCCCCCCCCCCCCCCCCCCCCCCCCCCCCCCCCCCCCCCCCCCCCCCCCCCCCCCCCCCCCCCCCCCCCCCCCCCNCCCCCCCCCCCCCCCGGTGTTTGCCATCGGGGTTGGGCTTTCGACGCTTGGCAACGACGTTGTAAAACAAGTCAATACACTTCGTGAGCTCGGCAATCAGGTTACCGTTCTTTTTTTTACCTCCGTTTTTTTGTTGTGGTAACCATGAATGGTGGTCGAGTAGATCATGTTGTGCGGGGTCGAAAACCCTCACTCCGCGCAAGGGGGATGATCGCACCACGTTGTGTTAAAATGGTCAAGCACCCTCGAGGCAGTTACACAGTGCTTACAACTGTCTCTGGAAGTGAA